ATATATATATATATATATATATATATATATATATATATATATATATATATATATATATATATTCACCACATGTCTGGTGAAAAATTTTTCCCTGGAACCTAACCTCCTCCCCCCCCCATTTACATTAATTCTTATGGGGAAATTGGATTCGCTTAACATCATTTTGCTTAAAGTTGCATTTTTCAGGAACATAACTACAATGTTAAGCGAGGAGTTACTGTAAGTTACTTGGCTCACAAGGGTTTGTGACCCCAGATGTTCACTTGGAATTTAGGGTTTGCTTGAATCTGAAAACTCCAAGCAAAGCCTAGAAAAACACACAGCGTTTGAAACAAAACTGGTGAATTTTCTGACTTCATCCCCTCCTGTAATGGAATGCTAAACTGTATTTTACTGTTCAGCCACTAATAGGGTTACCATACGTCTGGATTTTCCCAGACATGTCTGGCTTTTTGGTCCTCAAATCCCCATCCGGGAGGAATTTCCAAAAAGCCGAACATGTCCGGGAAAATAGGGAGGCATGGTAAGGGGACCGCCTCCTCCCCAGGGTTCAACTTTCCCGGCTCCCGCCACTCTCCCCAGCGCAGCAGCTGCCGGAGCCTGGGAGGAGGCGGCTGCGAGCTGGGATGCCGCCAGCCGGTGCCGCTCGGCCAGGCCTGGGGCCAGGCCGGAGCCGCTCAGGTGGGGCCAGGGTGCTCGGCCGGAACCGGGGCCCGAGCCGAGCCGGAGCCACTGGGACCGGGGCTGGGGCTGCTCAGCCAGTGCCGCTCGGCCAGGGCTGGGGCTGGAGCAGCTTGGCCAGGGCCAGTCGGGCCGGGGGTGCTTGGCCGCTGGCCGGAACTGGGGCCCAAGCCGAGCTGGGCCAGAGCGACTGGGGCTGGAGGTGCTCGGCCGGCGCCCTAGGCCCCGGGCTGGAGCCGCCGGGGCCGGAGCCTCTTGGCCGGCCGCCGGAGGGAGCCACTTGGCTGGGGGGGGCTGGACTGGACCGCATCTCCTCGCGGCCCCCCCCAGCCCCAGCCCCAGGCCCCAGCTTACCTGCTCCCTGCCTGTTTCAGGCTTCCCGCGAACATTTGATTCGTGGGAAGCAGGGGAGGGGGAGGAGCAGGGGGGCGGGAGCGTTCAGGGGAAGGGGCGGAGTTGGGGTGGGGCCGGGGCCCCTTGGAGTGTCCTCTTTTTCAGGGGCTCCAATATGGTAACCCTAGCCACTAAGTGGTCCTGTGTGTAAAATACCTTATTTAAGCTAACCTTAGCCAGACCTGGCAGAGCATTAAAGGATCTTATAGTGAACATAGTGTGTATCTCTCTGAGAAGTAATCTCTGTAGTCAGTTTATATCTGATACAGAAGCCTGACCTGCTAGTAGCAGCCCTGCAACCTACCATGTACAAGCAATACATGACACAGGATCAGAAGTAAACTAGTTCCAGAGAAGAACGAAGTGAAGAAATGCAGCAACAGAGGTTGCAAACAGAAAGAAAACAGCTACAAAGGTTGCAGGATCTCATCAACATGCCATTCTTCAATGCCCCAGAGAACTTCAGCTTTAATAAACCTTCACAATGGACAGTCTGAAAACAGTGTTTTGCAAGTTCTTCAATTACTACAAAGCTCTATCAGGAAACTGGAGATATTCAGGTATCTCCTTTAATTTATGCTCTAGGGAAGTAGGCAGAGCATATCTTTAAATCCTATGACTTTACTGAAGACAGGCACAAAGATAACTATGGTTCTGGCTATGTTTAATGCATACTTTATATCTCAGAGAAATTTGGTTTATGAAAGAGCATGTTTTCACCAAAGAATTCAAGAACCAGAGGAAATTGTTGAATGTTATATAGCGTTATAGCTCTGTATACATTGGATGAAAACTGTCATTTTGGAACTGCAAAACATGAAAATATCAGTGACAGACTGGTTATTGGGCTAACCTATTAAAAAATCTTTCATTGCAGCTACGACTGAAGACCAACTTAATCCTAACTACAGCTATGCATATAGCAAATCAGTGTGAACTAGTGAAACAACAGAACAAAAGGCAAGAGCAAATTGAAAATCCTGAAACTAGCTTAGAAGCTGTAAATGGACACTGGACTGCTAAAAGTAATTATCAGAAAACATCTGAGGGAAGGGGAGAGAATTCCCAGGCTAAAAGGGACAAATTCCAGCCTACATGCACAAGATGTGGAAAAAGTCAGAACCCAAGAAATGATACATGCCCAGCCAAAGACAGAAGTTGTAATAAATGCACTAAATATGGACATTTTGCAGCTGTTGGCCACCCCAAGGCAGTCAGGAAGTTGGACAATATTACAGACAATTAGGAATCATCATTTCTGTGATCTATCTCTTGTGTTGACATACAGCCTTCCTGGAGAGTGAAACTGAATATTCACGGCAACACTATTGACTTTAAAATTGACTTAGGAGCTGACATCACAGTCATATCAAAAGGGACTTACAATTGCTTTAAAAGTCTTCCAGAGCTGAAGTCATCTGATACAGCTTTGACTAGCCCTGGAGGTATTCCGAACTGTATGGACCAATTCACCACAAACAGCTTAAAAAGATACAAGCTATGCATTCAGAGTGCATGTGATCCAAAGTTTAAAGACTAACAACCTTCTCAGCTGTAGTGTGGCAGCAATGATGGGCCTAGTGAGAAAGGCAGAAGATCACAGAGGAATTGATGATATTGGACTCTTTGAATGGAGATCCAGTACAAATCAACTAAAGAGACAATGCTGAACCATACAAAATGCAATCACCCCTACCAGAGAGATCTTGGAAGAGACTAGCTCCTGATTTATGCAAATTCACAGGATGTTGTTACCTGGTTGTAGTGTACTACTTTTCCAGGTATATAGAAAAAATGTACTGGAAAGACATTACATGTTGCAGTGTTGTTGAGAAACTGAAGTGCACTTTTGCTTATTTTGGTATTTTGGACAACTAGTGCTGGATAACAGGCCAAAATTCACTGCAGCAGAATATACATCATTACAAATGAAATATGATTTTGATCATATTACTAGCAGCCAACATTATCCATGAGCAAATGGAGAGGCTGAGAGATCTGTACAGACAGCCAAAAACATCCTACAACAGGAAGATCCATTCCTTGTTCTTAGCTAAAAATCAACAATAATATCATCTATTGGATATAATCCATCCGAACTCTTGATGGGAGGACAATTTAAAACTGTTGTTCCAACTTTGGAAAAGAATATATCCCCAAAGTGACCAGACATGAAGAGAGTAACCAAACTGGATAAAAAGGCAAAAAGAGCCTACAAACTCTTTTTACAACAGACACCATTCAGTTAGAGAACTGCTGGGTCTAGGACCTGATGACCATGTTTATGTCAAATTGGATGGAGAAAAAGGATGGACAACTCCAGCTGTCATAAAGAAACAGAATTCAGTTCCCAGATCATAGATGATCGAGACTGACAGCGGAGAGTTCAAGAGGAACTGTCAACATCTACAGTTTGTTCCTTAGAAAGAATAATCAGCAGAGCAAACTCTACAGATGATAGATGAAGAACAAGATGACGACTCAGAAATTCCAAACTGACCACAGCCACTCATTGCAACTAATGGACAGCCAGATGACAAAGTGGTTATGCACTCAGGAAGTGTAATTAGAAAGCCAGTGTGATTCAGAGACACTTGACAGATTGCTATATACTGAACTTCAAAGAGAGCATGATGGTGTATATTTCCTAAATGATAGGAATGCAGAACTTCAAGGGGAGATGTAACGGAATGCTAAATTGTATTTTACTGTTCCACCGCTATGTGGTGTTGTGAGTAAAATACAGTAACTCCTCACTTAAAGTCATCCCGGTTAACGTTGTTTCGTTGTTACGTTGCTGATCAATTAGGGAACATGCTCGTTTAAAGTTGTGAAATGCTCCCTTCTAACATCGTTTGGCAGCCGCCTGCTTTGTCCACTGCTTGCAGGAAGAGCAGTCCGTTGCAGCTAGCTGTGGGGGGCTTGGAACCAGGGTGGACCGGCAGCCCCCCATCAACTCCCTGCTCCCCTAAGTTCCCTGTGCAGCAGCTGCCCAGCAGGCTAGCAATTGCAGCTGTCCCTCCCACCACTGCCATGTGCTGCTCCTGCCCTCTGCCTTGGAGCTGCTCCCCAAGACTCCCGCTTGCTGTGCGGGGGGTAAGGGAAGAAGAGGGGGGCTAATGTCAGGGTGTCCGCCTCCCTCCTGCTCCTGCACCCTGCTTACCCCATCTTATATAGAGCAGGGGACACACACGACAGAACTCAGGACAGAGGGAGCTTGCTGGCAGCAGCAGCTGCGGTCTCAGCAAGCTGATCTAATTAACAAGGCAGTGTACTTAAAGGGGAAATGCGCATCTCTCTCACACACACAGTATGTGTCTCTGTCTGCAATGCTTTC